AATTCGATTTTTTGAGTGCTCAAATAGTCGGTTGTTAGACGAGATGTGTGACAGCTGGCATTGTCTTGATGAAGAATGATCCGGCGGTGCTTGTTTGTTTTCCTTATTTCACTGAAGACTTCCGGCAAACAAATGTTTGTGTACGATTCAGAATTGACCGTTCTACGTTCCTCTAAAGGCACTGTTGCCATATGACTAGTTTTTCCGAAAAAACAGGCGACCATTTGTTTCGAAGTGCTTCGAGCGCGAACAACTTTTGTTGGATTTGGTTCATCTTGAAACACCCATACAGTCGACTGCTGTTTAGTTTCCGGCTCATACGCATAGATCCATGATTCGTCACCTGTTACAATCTTATACACGTCTTTTGAAGCACCGCCATTGTATTTCTTAAGCATTTGTTTGCACCAATCGACACGAGCATCTTTTTGAGATTTTGTCAGATTATGTGGGATCCAACGAGAACAAACCTTTTTCACGGCTAAATGATTATGCAATATTTCATATATGCTGGTGGAACTAATGCCCAAGGCTCATGTCTCAATCTCACAGTATGTCACATGACGATCTTGCATTATTAGTTTTTGCACAGGATTAATGTTTTCTGACACAACAACTGATTTTGGACGACCTTCACGACTTTCGTCGGTGAGCGAACGGCGACCACGATTAAATTCGTTATACCAGCGTTTCACAGTGGTAAAGGATGGGGCTTTATCACCAAAAGTGGAAGTAAGTTGATCGATGCACTCCTGTCTTGATAATCCACGTCGAAAGTCGCAATAAATCATTGCACGAAAATTTTCACGAGTTAATTCCATTTTTTCGCTGAGACACAATTTTCAAGTGACTGTAAACAATACAAATCGCGCTCAAATAACAAAACGTTCTGAAGAAAGTTATGATCAAAAATGTCAAACTTTCTAGTGGAAACGTCCGATAGCACCTGACAACACTCAGTGTTGCCAAGGCTCAAAATATAAGTAGTGCCCCTCGTATAGATATAATAAAAAATTATTATTATTTAACAGATATAATAAAATATAAACATTTTACATTACTATGAGACCACATTTGGTAAGTGTCAGATAATCTAATCTCGCTTGGCCGATGTCGCGCGCCGTGATCAGTGTAATATTCAGGTTGTGTTCGACTTGGTTTGCGAGTCTTCATATCGATCATTCATTTTACTTCTAATCAAAGAGTGTTCAGATTTCCGTTAGTTATTAAAAAGATACTTCCAGATCGTTCAAAATATTGTTTGCTTCTTATATATATTGTCTTTGACTTTCGAGCAATCTTGATGTCGAATTATGTATTTGCGTGCCAACGCCGGCGAAGGTCTTCAAATACGTGAAAAAAGGGACCTTTAACGACGTTGTTATTGTTGCTCCTCATTCGTCGCCAGTTACTAGGCCGATCATAACGACGAATCGCGTTATCGCTAATAAATTGCATCCGCGAGCCGGTCGAGTTCGCGTACATGAAAAGCAGTTCGAATCCGGAGAGCGACGAGCGAAGACGAGCCGAAAAAATCGGCGAATAAATAAAATAGTCTTGATTGCCGTCACGGGAGAGCGAAGGCTCCCGCCGATAACAAAGAGAAACAAAAGAACATAGCTCAATTATTTTTACGTTACAATTTTTTTGAACTTATAAGTTGGATTAAAACGAAAAATTTTCTACTTATAATTTTGAATAATTTAAGTAGCATTTATGGTTCATTTTTAAATAAAAACTTTTTTTATTCAATTAGATTGAAAAACTGCATTTCATATTCAAAATATTGAATTGAGCAGTATTCACGTTACACAGAAATGGCCGATATTATTTTTGAATTTAACTGAATTAAAACAACTGTACTTTCTATTTACAATTCTGAGTTGAGTAGTATTCACGATGCACAGAAAATGCTAATATTATTTTTAGATTGAAAGACATAAAGATATGCTCTATGCAATTTTTATAAATGAATAAAAATGCATTCAGGATTGAAAAAAGGATTCATTTTAATATATTTCTCATGAATTCGTATTTCTGAAAATCTGAATCCATTTTAATTCGTTTCAATCCATTCTCGTTTGCTGGATAACTACTCACAGTAACAACCTGATAGTTTAAGATTTACCAATGTAGCAACACAGCTTGAAGTGAGCCGAAACGTTCAGTCGTTATACTTATGTGAAAGGTTAAACACATTATGTTTGAAAATATAATTGCCCTAATTACCGTACACTAATTATTGAAGCTTCCAATTGCCCGCTTTTTAATTAATTATTAGTTTAATATTTCGAGAGCTCAATCTTTCTTTATTTATTTTCTTTATTTATTTTAATTAACTTTAACTTAACTCAGTTGACAGAAAAATAACCATGTACTTAACCTTGCATGAAATAAATATACATAGTATTTTTCTAGATTATCCAAGTATATAAGAATCATGGATGGCAAAGAAACATGTAGATCGTGGAACGATATTGATTCCAGTGAGGAAATCGTTATTTCTGGTATTGCTGGTAGATTTCCTTATTCAGATAATATGAATCAATTACGAGAAAATTTATTCAATAAAATTGACCTTGTAAGAGC